TACAAGGAATCTCGTAGCGTACTCAGTGTTAGGTATTTACGAAACACCCTGTATATGTGTGTGCGTGTGTGTAGCGTAAACGATGGAACGCTGCAGAAACCAGTGTGATCCGTGCTGGCGTAACAAAAACGGGCGTAAAGCCTGTGATTGGCCTAGTTCCTTTACGCCATACATACGCCGGTACGCCGTACGCTAGCTCCATAGGTAGGTCTTCACCCTTCAGTCTTCATTATTAGTTCGGCGTTCTCTAAAGGGTAAGGGTGAAATCAGATGATACGGAAAAGAGCTGCGGAACGGAGAGTGCGTCATTGAGACAGCCAATTACAGCTGTTCCGTATGTTCTGCATTAGTTCTGTACGGAACTAGGCTGCGGAACTGCTGCGGAGTGAAGAGTGCGTCATTAGAGTCGTTAATTCAAATACTTATGTAAATATTTTTGTTATTAAATAATCAATGATGGCGTATTCAAACAATTTGGTTATGGCAGAAGAAATAAAAGGTGCTTACATTTATTCTTAAATAATTAAAATACAAAGCAGGATCACTTGTTTCAAGCAGCTTGATTAAATTGTCGCTATCGCCTTGTAGCGTTCGCTGCTCAACAGTATAAATGATCTTACCCATATACTCCTTTTAGATTTTTTATGCTCTGACAAGACCGTGTGTAATGCCAATAATTTTAGCAAAGTTAATCTTATTTTTTCTTTTTTATAATTTAACATAGGGGTTCTTAAATATACCTTTAATAACTGTGCTATAGATTCTGTGACCATATTTAATTCACTGTCCATGATTAAATAATAATTTAACTTTATTAAAAAATCTATACAAGAAATCTCACTGAAAACTCCAAAATGTTCAGTTGATGCTTCGATGCAACAACCAAGGACAGCTATTCCGTACGATTGTATTCTGCAAGCCTTGTTCCCTCAGGTCACATGATATGGAATAAGGAATCCAATGACGTATCTGCGAAAAATAAAATTTAAGAGAACAAACATTTTTATAATTGTAGCGCTTTTAAAATAACATATAATGTTATAAAT